TAAAAACAAAAAACAAAAATACGGAAAAGCGGGAATTTTTATACAAAACTAGTTTTTGATAAAAAAAAATGTTCTTATTTTATTGTAATTCAAAAAGGAAAAACAATAGATAGGTATTTAAAAATTTCACCAAATGTTTATATAACAGCATATTCTTTACATGGTAAAATTTTTAAAAAATATTTTTACTCATTATGAGCTATTTATAGATTAATGACATTTTTGTTGCTTTTTTTATAGTTTTTTACTCAAAAAAAAATTAATTTTAGTCTATTGTATCTCCAATAGTAAACTAAATTATTATAATAGCAATTTACAAATATATCATAAAATATATTTGGAAATGTATATAGGATGACAGACCATCTGAGCTCAAAATCGTTTTTCGTATGTAACGATTTGTAATTGAATTCAAATTCAACACATAGGTATTACTCAATATTGATACATATGTCGATACAAATGTCCAATGCCCGATAGGCACTCGACACCTATACTGTATAGCAGAGGGGTTATAGGTAGGTACCTAATTTTCCCATTTTTTCATTTAATATTATCAATTTATTCAAATTCTAATTTTTGGAATTTTCAAGTATGCTTAAGAACTATATTATTTTCAAATTCTAAGATTTTCTATACCATTTAAGGAGTGTTCTGTGATAAAATCAATTTTTTTTACATTCTGAGTGGAGCGATGAATGTATTGATTTTACAATGATGTGTGTTTTTTTTTGTATCTGTACACTCTATAGCAGTAGTCAATTATTAATCCTTCGATTTTCAACTTCAGTAGGTATCTTGTTGAACGAGAAAGTGAATCTAGTTTGTGCATTCGGGAGGTCAACATTTACAATTGCCAGGAGTTTTCAAAAGCGCCGGGTAAAATAAAAAAAAAAAATTAAGAAAAATGGGAATTTGTACCCAAAATCAATTTTGGTTTTGGTGTAACTCTAAAATAAATGGGCTTAGGTACATTATTTTTACTGAATGTTTATAACATGATACACCATTTTCTATGTACCCAACAATTTTCAAAATAGTTTTAATTGTCTTGAGTTGTTTAAGGACATTTTCAGTTTCAAATTCTTTTATGTTTTTTTTTTTATAAATGTCAAGAAAAGTTTATTTGTTGGGTCAATAAGCTTGAAAATTTAATACAAGGATGCTGATATATTGTTACAGTAGCAGTTAAAAATATTAAAAAATATATATACACAATTTTTTTTTATAAGCATCTAAAGGTCGAATGTTGACTAAATTTATCAATGTATAAAATGTTCAACTTTTATAGCTAAAAATTGAACATTTAAAACAAGATGTTCCACGTAAGAAGGTTGTGTGACGTTCAGTGGCGTATTTAGGGAGGGGCCCATAGGGGCCCGGGCCCCCCCTTGGCCCGTGTAGTACATATTATAATAGTATAATACAATACTTAAAACACAGTTTTCATCAAATATAAATTTTAAAACTTATAGAAAACCTTGTATTAAATTTTCAATTCTAAGCTATGAATACTAAAAATGTAGGTTTACTTAGTATTTTAATGTAATACGCTTTTGTTTTTATTATTTTAGAAATTAGGACATTTGTATGATATTGCCAATTTTGTGGTCAAATACACTTTACAGTCTTCTGAAATATTTAATTGTTTGAAATTGACTTGGATACCCGATCCAAAGTATGATTTTCCTATACGTGCAGAAGGCAAACATAATAGAAAATTTTAATATAAGTATTTAGAAATTTTAGAAATATTTCCATGGTTAGCTTATAGTGAGATTAATAAAGGAGCCTATTGCAAATGGTGTGTTGTATTTGCTTTTTCAGGCGGTGGATCAGGCAACCAGGTATATTACACAGAAAAAAAAACTATTTCCCTTGATTATTTATAAATATAATAATTTTATAATTATTTCTTGTAGTCGTTAAAGAATCTAGTAAAATCTAGTATAATCTAGTATAAAAATCTCTGCCAGGAGAATGCAACTACAAGACTGGTCAAAATAATATAGACATTACTTAAATTGTATATGCTTTAATATAAGTACTTTAATTGTCTTAATCTTAATTAAATATAAAATATAATATACCAAAATATATGATTTTTGTGTTATATCTGGTGGGCCCCTCCCTTGAGAAATTTCTGGCTACGCCACTGGTGACGTTCAACTGTTCAAGTATCGTTCACTAAATATGAAAGTGAACGCGTGTACATGAGTTCATGAACTACATTTTCTCGAAACACTGCCTTATACATTTTCTTAATAAATAAAGTTAAATAACTCAAAAATGACTAATTAAAAGAAAGATCTCTGGGAAAACTGCGATATCTACGGAACTTAAGTTAAAATTATAAAATGGAATACAAAACAAATTGCTTGACCTTGTACAACGATTATTAAAACTATAAAACCACCATTGAAAGTAATTTGCACTTCGGAGGAATCTATATTAACATTTAATAAATCGAACAACGTCAACAAAATATTTGCGGCTTTTCTTCTTAATTCACATAAAGTTAACCCCAATTGGGTAACTTGCAAATTATATGAGTCTCTATCAATAGAATTAAATAATATTAAACTTACCTACTACAAATTAATTTTAGAAATGTATACTGTACATTTTCAACCTGATTTATATAAAGAGTATAAATATTAGTGACCAAACTATATTGAGCCAAGTTCTAAGTGAGACCTATCAAGTGAGAAATATAATACTTCCAAAGAGTTAATATTGTAACTCTTGTAATATGTAATGGTAAGATTATTATCTAGACAATGGCAAAGGCTTTTTATTATATTTTAATTTTAAAGCGAGTTATGAGTATTTTAAGATGTACAAACAGTTTACAATTTTAAAATACACATAACTCGCTTTAAAATTAAATTATAATGAAAAGCCTATGTCATTGTCCAGATAATAATCTTGCCTTTAAATTTTATTAGAGGCCAATTCGCTCTAATTTTTAAACTAACGGAAGACAAACGTGTTTTGCTGAGCGTAAAATTTGCTATGTTGCGCACTTGTCAGACGGAGAAAACAAATGTAACTGCAAAGGTCTCTTACTGGTAGGTAAACAATTTCATTGATTCCAGCTAACAAATTTCAAATAGCTAAGGTGTTTCACAAATGCTTGTTGGTGTTTTATTATTATATTTTACAAAATCTGGCACATAACAAACAGTTTTTTTCAAAGAGTAAACATATAGTTCAAAAAAGGTTTAATACTATTTTTGGCATTATACCTATAAATTATAAATACAACCTAACATTATTTTTATATAATTTTCTACAGTTTTATCAACGATTTGGCTCCAATAAAAAATGGAACGCATAATTTTTTATAGTAGCTGTTCTATTGTATAAAATTGATTAAATATTACACAAAATTGCAATTAAATATGCATTTTAATTATATTTCATCGATAAGTTATTATTATTATCACTTATGCTGGGCACGAACGGTCACTAAACATTCAATGAATCGATATGGTGCACTATATATATGTTGGCCATTTAAACATGATTTAATGGCCAATGAGTCGTGACTTGTGTCGCTGCGTATAGGTCTATTAAATTTTAACGAACCATTAAATTGATCAATTTCTTGCGTAACTTGGCATTACTGCAGATTCTAGTAATAATAATTAATAACTCTCTAGTCTCTGTAATTTATTTATATTGTGTAAGCTGTAAAGTGTGTAATATACTTAATTCAATAGGTATCAAATCTATAAAGTATACAGTTCGTAGAGTACATATCTACATACCAGCAGCTTTTTACACAACAGTCAACATGCAGTTTGCACTCTGCAGTTACTATATTAAACATATACTCATACATTGAATATAGTATATTATACATTATTAATTCATTCAATGTGCTGAAAACTATAGGTTATTTAAAAAAAGTAGTAACTTTAATACGTCATAGTAGGTAATATCGTCGGTCGATATTCTATTTGTTATATTCCATAATACATACAAATATATTATAAGTGTACGAATAACCAGTCGCGAAATATATAATTTATGGCCAAAAAAATGATCACGCGCTGAAAGAAAAATATTATTTTCAAAAACAAAATTTTTTTTTTTTTTTTAAAGTCTCGGAATTCGAAACACTTTAGAAATGTAAAAAAAAAAAATTGTTTCAAACATGTCAGATTTGTAAATATATAGGTAATATTATAGTACACCCGATACTGTATTATTATTATATAGTATATAATATAATAATATAATAAGATCACCGCCGCCGCCACATACACACGTGAAGCTGCAGGAGCCGTTCCTCAGGTATATAATATAATAATATATTGTAGATGGTATCAAAACATATACGAAGCCGACTGGTCGTGCGGCATGTCTCTTTCGCGGGCCACATAAAAGCCGTATAATATTACACAAAAGGTCCGAAATTTCCTGGTGTCGGCCTTATGTACGTCGTATTATTACATTATAGAAACATTATTATTATTATTGTTGTATGTTTTTATACGCCGCGCGCGTCTCACACAATAGCCGGTATACACTCGAAACTGTATAAGTGTACATGTATAACATAATACTACTACTAACACTACTCTTACTACTACTTCTACTACTAATAAATATAATAATAATAACACATAATATGTATATACGAATTTCGCGGATTTGTTGTTAGCGGGTACCCCGCGCGAGAGAGACCTTTTTCTTCTTAGTGTTTTTTTTTTTTCATCTTCCCCTCCTCGTCCGTGTACACGCCAACTACCTATACATTATTACCAATATATTATATATATGTATGCACACAACGTGCAGGGTGACAAGAGGATAATGGGCCGGCGAAAATGTTCATCACAAAGGAGTTGTAAACGCGCGCGGTGCTGCAGTACCTACGTGCCTTCGATGTATATATACTTACCGTTTACACTTCGGAGAGGCGTATAATATATTATAATATGAGCCGTGTGACGTGTGTTTATAGGCTGCATAATAATATAATATAGCTACTAATAAATATCTAAACAGATTAGCTGGCGCGGTGTCGGTCTGCTGTCAGACTGAATGGCGTTCGGCCGTGTGGGATTTTCGGTGTACGCTGCTGTGACGACGAATAGCCCTCGCGGGGGAGTGAAGGAATCTTCGAAAAGGCGAGAAAGTGATGAAATACCGCGACACCGTTCTTTACGCCGAATTTGCCGGTCACGTGATGACGACGACGATGCTAATGCCCGTAAATTTAATTCCACATAGCATGTACAATACGGTATTGTATAATGCATTATGAAACTTGCGGCAAGAGACGATGACAGTTTCACAGCTGCTAATTTTCGGCACATGTTATTAAAAAATGTGATGGGCGAGCAGAGCGGATAAGAGACTATATTTATTTTTAGATAAGGACGTCGGGTCTTTTTTTTGTTGATAATTTTGATTCATACGCAGCCGTCGAAAACACGGCAATACGCGCCCATAATATGTACATAATAATGTAAAACAAGTGATATACCTACGACTTATTATTCAGTGACGGACTGCCATACGTTTATAGTCCAGATTGCTGTCGATTGCATATAGGCTCGCAAGGTGAACAGAGTCTTCAAGTCCAACTCGGCTACGACTGGCGAGGTAAAATTCTACTTACAGCAGATCGATATTTTGTGTTGATGATATTTGATATTTTATGATATTTTCTAAATTTTTCGGAAACATACATTTATGAAGTTGTATATATTATGAGCATCGATCAATGGTATACAGAGTGTAACAGAAAGATATGACATATACATATACTGGAAATGTTCCTAAACAGTTCAAAACAAATCAAAATGTTTTGAAAATTGTATCGTGTATAGAAAATGCAAATATAAACTACCAGTGAAAATTTCATGTATATACGTTCATTTGTTTTAGAGTTTAACCAAAAACCAAAATCGATTTTGTCATATCTTTCTGTTACACACTGTTAACCACATATAGGTGTTTACATATTTAATCACTTTTAATTATATTTTTTGTAGTTTCAAAAGATAGAAGGTGTTAGAAAAATATTATTATCCTTTATTCATCCTTGAAACTAGGTTTTAATTCATAAAATAATTCAAGCATATTTAATAATATGACGTAATTATCTATGCATAACGAAGTAAACGAAATTTAACATAAAACAGAAAATTACTACTACTAGGTAAATTCTAAATATACCATAAAAACTCATAAAGTGATAATTTTGGTTGCAGTGTTCAACTTTGTACAATTGGGACAGAGCATAAAGTGTGGTTAAATAAAATTATACATAATTATTGAAGACACCCGTGGTCGGCGACGCGTGCATTAAAAACAAGTATTTTCTTAATTCGTAACTTTACAAAGTGATTATGAAAATTAACTGGAAAAAGTTAAGTGAGTATAAAATTATGATAATTTAAACGAATTTACTGATTATTTAATTAATTGCAAAAATAAATTATTAATAGTTGAATTAACAAAGTTTTAATAAGAGAACAATTTATAGTAATTATTATAAATACCTAGTAAAATTATTTTTTATTTTTTTACTACAAAAATAAGGGAATATAATATTTACATTCCGTAATCTTGTTCTTATTCAATAAATAAATTTGATAAAGTATTTTTGAATAATATTTTAAGCTGTACCTACGGTTCATTTTATAGTATTTATGCAATACAAATAAAACATCGATAGACATATAGAGGGGTTATTGGGTATTGTCTGGTCTGGATATAAGCTAAGGTAAAAACTAAAAAACAGTAATAATAATATCTACCTACAGAAATTTTTCAAATAAATGTCCATTCTTCATGGATTTAATATTATTATTAATATTATCCATGTTTAGCGTTTTTATTTTTCGACACTAAATTTCAGATACGTTTAGTTTTCAATATTTTGATATACATTAGACTGTATTAGGTAGGTATGCCTCACATAATATGTAATCTACTATTAAATTGTGTGTTAGTATACGCCCTATGCAAGTTCAAACCCGTCAAGGCATCGAACCGTATTGGTCAAAAATTATTAACCTGCTGCCACCGCACTGCCTATCGGTCATAAATTGGTTTTCTCGCATTCTCCCCCTATTTACACAATATAAACTTTACATCCGATTTATATTGTTATTTTCATAGAATTACGTACCTATATAGGTGAATCAGAGTATTCCCCTCAACCAATTCAACACTGTCGAGTCGTAAAAGTGGTTTTGAGATTATTTGATTTTGATGTTAAACGTCTGATGAAAACAGAAAACGTCCAAAACTGGAAAAAAAAAATCAAAAGTCTAAACGCCCGCAACGTTGCTACCTTTGGAATTGGCGCTACTGTGCAGCTGGCAGTGACAATTCTATGGGTCCTGCTGTCAAATAAACAGCAGAAAATACCGATATATATATATATACCCACTCTTTGAACCTACAAACCTTATACACTTTTACATTTTCCACTATTTTTTATACATCACGGTGAAATGCAATTTGTGTTTTTTTAAATTACATTTTATAACAATAACAATAACAATAACATTATATAGGTAGGTGCAGGTCACTATATAACATAAAGTTATAGCAAATCAGCAAATAAACGATACATAGGTACCTATTTATTACTATAATACCTATATATATATAATATATCTATTGTATAAACTTATTATTTATATATATTATATACCGATAGTAAGCAGTAATAATATATGTAATGATTTATTAGATTTTAGAGTGTCACAATTGCAGTATAACAATTTATTCGTTATTAAATAATATCTCAATTTAAGATACAACGTTTAAATGTTTGTTTCCGCATAGGTTTCATAAAAAATCTGATCTATAAATATAACTAATGTAACTAATAACTATATAAATATTTTAAAAGATTTAATAACTTATTTTATTTAAGTCTGTTATAAAATAGATAGTAATATTGATATATTTAAGTTTGAAAGTTAGACATGATTACATTACATAGAGGCATAGACACATAGAGATTAGAGACAGTTTCATATTATATAGTCTTTCCGACTGAATTGCTCTATTTACGAGTATATATAGGTAGGAACCAATATGGCAATGTAGTGTAGGTATGTGGAAAAACAAGACTAGACACGTACATTAGATATATATATAGTTGTATAGTGTAAACCTATATTATTTTACCACGTCCTTCCAGGGGCAGACATGTAACGACTCGTGGGGGTCTTTTATTCAAACTGGAGGAGACTAATCCCCCCAAGCCCCCCTAAATAGATATGCCTATCGTAGAGGATTTATATTAATTAATTTAATATAATATTATTTTATATACAGTTAAGTATTATGTCATACTGCACTACTGCAGTAATGTAAGATGTTTAGTCGTTTAGATATATATGATGTAAAATCTCACAGAAATAACAATTTAAAGTAAAAAATAAAAATGTATTGACGCGTACCTTATTTAGTTCTTTGTAATTTATACACATTGCGCATACATTTTGTATTAAAGTTATATGCATAATAAGTATTAATAGCTAGCTGACTGCTGACATTCGGCTAGTCGGTAAAAAATGTTCTTCTTAATCTATTCATCGAGTTTCTCGATTCAGATCCCAAAGAAGTTGACTTTTTTGTGCAATCGATTCCTTATTAACGTGCGACAATATTAGCTTAGCCCAATTTTCGATTAGTTGGTAAATTAATAAAAATAGCTTGAATGAAGTAAATAATGCAAGCACATAATATATTGTTTATTAGGTGTACCTATAGTGTATACTTCAATATTTTTTATTGTCACATCACAAATTACTTGAAAGTTCATAATATTTTTAATTTAAAGTTTGAAAAATATGTAATTTAACTCGTTGTTCCTTTTTAATCGTAAGTTATTATTATAGAAACCTTAAACTCTAAAAAATGCTTATCCATAATTCTTAATTATATACCTAGATACTGCATGATTCACACCCTCCACGGTACATCGGTATTGACTTAAGTTATTAACAGTTGTCAGCAAGTAATTTTATATAGTATTATAATATCTTATATATTTCATATAATAATAATTAGTGCCTATGTATAAGTATAAGCGTATAACATACTCATTACTCAAAAAAATTTTTTTTTAAACTACTTCAACCCACAGTATTAATAATAGAAAAATAAATTACTATTGCGCTTAGCACTTAGCGGTATAATTAATAAATATATAATGAAATGTCTTTAAAAATATTTGATAAAAGCTAGACAGTCTCCACTCTCCAGTCGGAATCGATTTTGTATGTAGAATTTATGTTGAACTGCTCCATTACATTGACTGTCACTGACTGACCCAATGACAAGTTCCAATCGACACCTACTACACAGGAACACAGCAGAGAAATTTCCTTGTTATTTCAAATTACTAGGCTGAATATTTTAAAAGTTAAAACTAATTATTTTACTTTAACAGTATTCAACCTAATCATTATTATACCAGCAGGACGCAGGCTATCGAGGGGATCAAAGTTTTTACAATGTAAATGATAAATATATTATAATATTGTCTATAATCTTTTTTTATTTTTTTTAGTTAGCTGTAAATAGTTTCCTATATGATAAAATAATATAATCATAATAATACTATAATGTTATTTATTCATGCTAATAATCTATTTAACCAAATGTATATACTATATATTATAAGCTAATCATAACGTAATTCGTACATAGACGTGTAATTCACTACTATAATATGAGTAGGTATAGGTATATAGTATATATAGTAATATAGTATATACCCTATAGGGTCACAAATTTACAATTGAAAATGGCCGTTTATTGGTTTGCAGTTTGTACACGGTAATTTTGTTTTACATTAAATTAACACAATATAACAAATATTGTTGTTTTGTGTAGAACAACAAGGTTTTGGATTGTCAGCTGATGTAGTAGGTGTTACAAATTACAGTTATATAGCATTTTATTATTATAAATTATATATGGTTAAACAAAATGATCAAAAGAACTCAAAAAAAAGGAGGCATCCAACTTATTGCCTCAATTTATATGGTATTACGATAAATTGTCTCGTTACACAAATATTATCGGTGGGGAATGAGCCACAAGAAAAGGTACAATACATTTAGGATAGGGCGCTTATCGGTGACTCTTAAATGAATGTGTTGAAGAAAAGAAGGAGAATCAGTTTTACCACAGAGATATAAATTAAGGTCTAAGGATATAACATATACATTATACAAGTATAGTTATTCGGCTATAGATATACTGCAGGAGATCCAGGCTTATGATCCAACTTATGATTACAATAAATATGTATGATTACTATAAATTACAATATTTTAACTACAAAAAGTCATATTACTCAGTTTGTAGGTAAATATTGTAATTTTGCTTATGACGGTATTAAATTCAATAGTTTTGACAAAGTATCAAGGTAAAAAAAATAGATTTCGAAATTATCACACAAACCACCGGTTGCAAATGAACGGCAATTATACGTTTCAAATACGTTTGCAACAAATTCGTGTATCACTTTTCGTGCAATGCCAACATAATTTTTACATGCTGGTAAATATAGTTGTAATAATAATAATTTAGATTATTAGCATTATTTCAACAATTTTAACAATTCAGAAAGTTATAAGTTACTATAGGTCCGTACTGGTAATTTTTTTATTTTAACCAAAAAACAAAATATAATATATTATACCCATAACAACAATGCGTTATAGTAAGTATGTCGTATGTATAGATAAGTGTATATATATACATGGGGACATTATGGTGTAGGTGATATTATTATATTGGGAGTATAATATGATGTATCTATATATCTATATAGGTGCCTACCATATATAGTATCTTTTTGTTTTTTCATTGAGCTTGAGCCCGGAAACTTAAACCATTAGCTATTTTTTGTTTTTGTTCTTAGGAGGGGAACACGTCTGTGTTTGTTTTGGCAGAATTTTTGATTTGGACATCCGTAGGTGTCTGCTATGCCCAGGTGGGGGATGGCGACACTTTTTCTCCAGCCACCGTGACTTGCCCGAAGAAAAATGCTGCCCATGGCCGAGGAATCGAACCGGCGTCGTAGTGCGTCGCAACCGACACCTTAGCTAGTCCGCTTGGCCACTCCGTACCCCAACTATCATAGTATCATATATATACTAATGTAACGAGTATAACAAAATATAAACATATATACCTACTAATATATTTTACTATATTATGCATAAAATAATGTTATACTTTATAGTTTATACTATTATAAGCATAAATAAAACACATTGCATTTTCTGATGAACTAATTATTGATATTCAAATATATACTATATAGACTTTATTATAATTTATATTATACACTGACTATATAGGTAGCGGTGTGGGTAGTAACGTAAAGAAAGTAAAGCGTTACTGGAACGGCGTTACTTTGCTTGTAACGCGTTAAGTAATTTCATTAAAATTATTTCCAAGTAACGAAAACGTAAAGTAAATTACTTTAGAAAAGTAATTTCTATAGAATAACGCATTACAGTTTCGAATTACAGTTTCGTACCTACCTACCTATTGCGAATTAAAAAAAATATATATGTATAATGTGGGTATTAATATGTTTACCAATCTAATATTTATATATTATATTTAATTTTAACTCTTCACAGTTCAGTTTTCAATGGTTTTGACATTTGAAATGTCTAATTGCACCGTACAAATCACTAAAACAGTTAATTTAATTTATTATTTAATTTGATTCCTTTAAATAGGTTTCCTATGCAAATAGCTTGTGTGGAAGACTAAGTTTTATACGATCCTATTAACTATACGTCTATACAGGTTTTATAAAGAATTTGATTGTTCAATTTTCCTGCAGAAGATAGGTAATTGCCAAGAAATTAAAATTTTTTTTTTTGGAACAAGAAAGTAATGAGTTACTTTTCTGTTCGAAAATTAAAGTAATTTCATTACAATTTTATTTGAGTAACGAGTAAAGTAACTTAATTACATTTATCTCTTAGTAACGAGTAAAGTAACTTGATTACTTTTTAAAAGTGACTTACCCAACACTACTAGGTATATAGGTATACTTACATATTATAGATGCAGTGGTTGTATACGATTTGTATTACATATTTCAAATTACATAAATTACATAATATTTTGTAGGTATAATAACAACGATTTAGAAACTTTTATAAAATATAATATATACGATATACCTGCAACTATATATATATAAGCTATTCTAACTATCGCCAAGCATTGTATAGGTATAATATATTATAAAACACAGTAATTAAAGAGGATCCGAAAGGAAAAAGACCACTAGGCAGACCACGCCTCAGATGGGAAGACTGTGTGAAGAGAGAAAAGAAGTAGACCCATAGAATAAACTGGAGAGAAATAGCTGAAAACAGAATAAGGTGGAGGGAAATTTGTTTTACGGGATGGTCTTAAAGGTCGGACCCCCCCCCCAAAAAAAAAAAAATATTATATTATAATGCGTCTTTATTAAAAATATATATTTTAATGTTAAAAGTTAAAACCAACATAGTATATTATATTATTACCATTTACCTATATAATAACTTATTTAAAAAAAAGGTGCAATGATCAGAAATTAAGTAGATACAGGTTTTTCCATTAGGGTTCAGGGTTGAATAGGTAGAATTCATTTTTTATTTGTTTTATCTGCATGTTTCTTAAGACATCTAAAAGACTTTCATGTATTTATTGCTCTATAACCAATAACTGTTCAGATGTGGTGCGGGGTGCTGCAGTTCGTTTGTAGGACGTGGACTGCAAAATGTGCTGTCATGCTGTCAGAATATAATTTGTATAGGTTCTTATTATACAATATACGAGTATATTATATAGGTTGTACCTTGTAATAAGCTATATTATACAACACGTGTTTCGTATACTTTGTAGTACAGCCAGTATAGTACCTATACTGCAGGCTATACTAACCGCCAAAAAGCCATCGAAAATACTCAACAACTCATATCGCCGATAATCCGTTCGGATGACAACATACACATAATATATGAATGTTAATAAGTACATATAGAATTCGAAAAACTGGTCTCATAAATATACACTTGAACAAAAATGTAGCCAAAGGGGAGTGGAGGGATGTGTATTATATATTTAGTCGAGAACGTTGTTTTGGTATGGACCAATTAAAATTTTCACCGGGTATCGCATGCGTTGTAAAGCGCATAAAAACTCGACATGACGTGAATAATAAATATATATATAGATACACACTCTTGAGGCACACGTTTGTAGGACGAAAGGGATAATAAATGGACGTGTCGCGCGAGTTTGAGTTAAGCCGAATTATTATGTCGGTATACATAAAAACCACTCTCGCGGTCTAGTGGCGGAATCGACCAGTGGTGTTCCAGTATATCCCCTGACGCAATAATACTTACACGCATTATATTATATCATAGAAACTACGAGGAAAAAAATACGAGCACCTATATATAATATAATATTCGATATATATTAGGTATATATATTATATAACAATTTGAGGAGAGGCGTTTTTATATTGTTGGCCACAAACGATGCTTTTTTCGTCAGTATATATTATTATATATATCACCTTCCCTATATATATATACAGAGAGAGAGAGAGAAAGAGAAAAAACACCGCTGCAATGCAATAACAATAATATAATAGCTGGTAATATACGTCTTGTGTTGTTGTATACCATAATATTATGCCCCCGCCTGAAAGTCGGCTGCAGCAACACGATCATCGGCTACAACACGATTTGAGTGTGAACGACTGTGTGCACGACCAGAGCTATTCTGCTTTCTGCAGCGTCGAATATTTCATTATTATTATTATTATGTACACACACATACACACGCCGTCAATCGCGTAGTATAATATTATAGTGCCATGTCGTGTGTGTATGTGTGGGGCCAAACAATAACATCTCATTTAAACATTACACGCTAGTAAATAAATAAGAGGGACGCCTCGTCGTCGTCTCTCCACTCTGTCTCACTCTCTCTCACTCGCCGGCCGTTACCACACCACTACCACCACCCCGACCGCGGTGGGCCCTCGGGGGCATTTAGGGTTTTGAAAAGAACATTTATCGAATTATACCCGGAGACCCGTCGACGGCGGGGCGATAGTTAGGTGTGACGCACGGGTTGGGGTGGAGCGCGCACAAGTGGCCCGTTTATTCGAAAGCCGCGGCGGCGGCGGGTTCGGGGTGTACGTAACGACTCGGGGCGGGGAGGGGCGCCCGGTGCCTCGCCATTGGTCCGCGGTGGCCGCGCCTCCCACCCCGCCGGCGTAACGCGCGTCGGGTCTCGCGCGACCGGCACACCGCCGCCGAACAGTCGTGGGACTCCGGTTCTTGTCGTCTCGTCGTTTGCACGGTTACTGCATCAGCTCCGCCCGCGAGCACAATCTGCGCCGCACACACGCACCGAGTGACGCGGCACAACGTATATTAACAAGAATAATAATATCTAATAAGACGATATACATTATTCTCTTCGTTAAAATAATACAGTCGTTATCTATTCTGCGCGAGTGGGTTTCGTGATTACTGCATATAGCTTGGTATTGGTTTTTTTTCCAAATTGTCTTTTTTTCGCGTTCTGTTCGTCAATTTTCGCTGCACGCAGAGCGTCGTCCGAAGAACAAATACGTAATAACAACATTTATACCGTATAAATATATATTACCACAGTTGTAATAACAATATATTATAAGCTCACATCTGTCGCCCCGCGGCGTCGTTTCAAATACACGCCGGCCAGTCTATATCGTTATCATCATCGTCGTCGTCGTCGACATGGAGACGGATAGCAACAGCGACGGCGAAATGATGCCGGCCGCCGCGCAGATGCCACCCTACAGCCGGGCCAACATCGAGCTGCTCATCAGGAGACACCAGGCCGCTGTCACGGCGCTCGGGCTGGCGTTCAACGGCCCACCTCACCATCACAGGCCGATGATGGCAAACGCGGCCACGTCCGTGCCAGCGCCCAAGCACCACACCATCGACGCCATCCTCGGACTCAAGCGCAACGACCACAAAGACCAGGAGTCCGGAGGCAAGTATACCATACACCATGTTATGGTCTATATAATATTATGTAGATTGTAGATTCTATATTGTGATGAAATAAAACGTGAACTCAATAATAATATATAATATAGGTACCTACTCATTATACTAGAATACTATACGTAGATACTTACATTATGATTATATAAGTATTTGTAGAGTCTTTCTATCGTAGGTAATCATACAATTTTGAAAATATGTTTAAATTGTATAAGTAGGCACCATAAATATTATAACATGTTGATTTCAATGTTTAAACATAAATATCTTATATATATATTATTATATTATAGATATTTGTATAGGTAGATCTTTTGACAATTAGAATTTAAAAATTTGAATGTTAACCAGATATAGACATACCTATAATTAATTTTAATTGTGATAGACAGACTCAACAAATAAATTCAGTAAGTACCTAGGTTAGATTAATTAATTTAATATAATCACGGGGTAAAGCAGTAGGTCAGTAATAAAATAGTGTTTTGTACTTTTGTGTGTTCCTATCTGTGATGTATTGCAATGTAATGCAAGCACATAATAGTCAATAGGTATATTATCGTCTTTCGAATTTTCATAAACAGTATATAGGGATCGCGTAAACAGCACTTTGAACCATTGAAACCCTAATACAAATTTCAAACGGCCAACTATAATGTCTGCCGTGGTCTTAGGAGTGATGTTATAATATTTTTCCACTATCACCCTTGTAAACAATTATAATATAAATGTTTAATGTATACAGTATACTTATCCGAAATAAATAAAGGTACAGCAAATACCTAGCTCATCCTACACGGCGTTTCTCATGAGTCATGACAAATTATATGCCAGTGGATTTACCCTGTCTCAAACGCTTTTAAATGTATAAGCTGCACAAGTTTTTAAAACTGTAACATGGTGGTCAGTTTGAATAAATATAAAATACGGGTTTAAAATTATATTTAGGTACAATTATTTATTATAATAACAATTTTATTTTCTGTAACCAATGGCAACCCTATACAATCAAAAAAATATTTGTTTTTCGTAAGCTCAGATTCTTGTGTGAGCCCATGTTTGAAATGCAAAATTTAAAAGTTATAGGTTTTTCTGTAAACATCCTTAGAAATAAGATTACCTACATATGTACCAAATTTTAGAAACAAACCTAACCTAAACTTTTATTAATCCTATGTATACATCTATAATATAACATAATAATATATGGGTATTATATTACATAATCTTTTATAGGGTTGTATAATATATTACCATCAAATTGGTCTCGAGATGATTCCACCGTATATAGCTGTTTACATTATGTTTATTTACCTATTGGTTATTTGGTTATCTATATATATATTACTTTTGTATCACATAATACATAAAAACATAGTTTTAGAATATACAACTCTATTACAATGTACATTTATATACATATATTTTTGTCTTAAGTATTATAGGTACCTATATACGTATTAACCTTCATTTAATATATGAATGTTTATCGTTTATGTATATCTATTGTATATAAGGGCAAGCTCTTTGGATAACATATTGTACTTATATCTTACTAACTATAGTAATCATTTAAAAATAATAAATTATATACCTACATAGATTCAATAGGAAAAAGATATAGGTAGTTAAGCAATAGTATAGTGAGTTGGTAAAAAATTTAAATTTTAAAACGAGAATGAATAAGGATCGAGATTGGCTATATAATAATAGACGCATTAGACTACGCGTATAGGGGTTATTGGACATATCATAGTTGGTTGAGCTTATCGTAATGAATAAAGGTCAACGTGAGCTGGAGGAACTTAAAAGTTGATTACATGTAAAAGATTTAGAGAGTCAATAGATTCATTAAGAGTACGGTCCAGTGAGAGATTTTAATTTTGCATTATGCCTTCGATCAACAAGGGAAGATATTCTTACTGTAGGTGTGTGTGTCTGTGTGTAAAATACTATATACTATATACCTAAGTTCGGCGAGCGGTGCGGATATTAGCTGTAAGTACGTTATTCATAAGTCTATAAAATTATATATATCTGCAGCAGCCGAGTCATATATAGCATACTCCTTCCTAACCTAACCGTCTGAAGTCGCACGGGAAAAATCAGTCGCCGATGACGACGACGTAATGGTAATTGTTTCGGTAAACCGCCGGTGGGGGAAATATGTTTTCAAGCCCATTTGTTTTTAATCACTTTTCTCGTTCCACTTGCTCTCCGCTCTATTCCCCGACCGCCGCGCTCGTTTTTGTTTCAATACTTTAAAAAGTTCAAATGCCGTACAAAATACGTGAAATTATGCTGTCCCAATTACCGCCGTTATTTCCCCTTTTTGTACGCGCTTTATAATAATATAATCGTACCCACGGAGTTGTTTCACTATAAATACACCCGCGTCTGCATAAACATGTGCAATATTTATATATATACATATATATATTGTAGTCGAACGCATTGCCGTCCCGCCGCGCGCTGTCGCTCGAGCTGCTTAATTGAGACCGAATAACGCGCTCGCGGATATAATAAATATTATATATAAATATATATACATATACACCTACCCGTGTACGATAACTTTATGTATAATATACACGTTTATGATGTGTATATAAACTCTACAAAAATAAATTACTTTTGTATCTCCTCTCTATCACACCCTCTGTCTCTGTCTCTGTCTCTATCTTTCTTACAAACCGTCTACGAAAGTTTCAAAGCCGATTTCGATAACGCGCGTGCCACAGACCCATAATAAGGCAATTTCAATTTCGGAATGGCGGTATATATCGTATATGTGCCCATAATTCAGACGTGTTTTTTTCCCTCCGTTTGCAGTATATTATGATGCATGTATATATATAATGATATAACGAATTTACTAATTTTCTTAGAATATAAACTGCATATCATTACTATATTTAGGCAGGCAAACGTGTGCAGCTATACATAATATAATATTTTTGTGTCCGCCTGCAAATGCACAACGACGATATCTGTCGTCCCAGTGGAATTAATTAATCAATTACGAGCATACACACACTCGTATACATTGGGTAATAATATGCCGATGTGCGTCATTTTTTTTCGTGATGTCGTATGTATACGAACGCATATTATACGCACCTATACATATGTGTAATATAGGATACCTATATGTATAGACATTATAGGTTTATATACAAAAAAAAAAAAAGGTAAAAAATATAACAAATATAGGGAAAGCGGAAGTGTGTGTGTGTGTCTGCACGCGTTTGTATTATTAAAGGGGAGAAAAAAATACGAATATATAGTACCTATACCACGGTATTATATATATATGTATATAATGTCTGTGTGTAGCGAAAAGCCTAATTCGTGCGCTATCAACGCTGTTATCGGCTCGCGTGTCGTTTACTCATAATAATATTATAATTACAAACAATTAAATTGATTAAAACATAATATTTTAATCAGACGTCTTATCGCCGCCGTTCCAATTATTAATTAAAATATCAAATGAATGCGCAATTTTTTTTTTCAGTACCTGCAGCTTACTGCTTACTCCCGCTCTGGTACCTATATAATAATATTATATGGTATGTATAATAATTAATAACGATGTATATAATATTACATAATACATAATATTATACTATAACTGGTCTGACTGTGCAGCGTCTGCGTCCAATGTGATTATCGCATCAAGTGTCATATTTAATATGTATATTTTGTGTGGCGTAATTGTACCTATTTTGTAATAGGTAGATCCTAAGGTACCACTTTTCATACCTGTACGAGTGGGTATATATTATATAGTATACATAGTATGTATAGTTTATGCTTTAGGTACACGTGTACCTACGTAGGTTATAAACCAAATATAATAATCATATCAATGATGTATGGTGGTATACAAAATAAAAACAACGTATGACGAGAATACGAAATAAATAGAACTTAATTAAATGTATTAAAATGTAGACACAATAGACACATAGACACATGTATACATACGCAGGTTTAGAAGTCAAACAATGAAATATATGATGAAATTAGTGATTTTTAAATAGATTAGTCTCACTGATCATATATTTTAGAAGTAGGTATATACTATTATAATGTATTATACTTATTTATACTTCTACCTACCTTTTAAATAATTTCACAAAGATGATATTATAATATTTTATAAAAAACATAAATTTTTATCAATCATGGAATGAATATATAATTTAAATAATTCAATATGTAGGTTGGTACCCTGTACCTCCTAAAAAATCATTTTGTCGATATGATATAATCATAAACGGAGTATAGTAAATAAAGCACAAAATTATAGTACAAATACAATATTTGTTGTTTAAAATTTAAAAAAACAACGCAGTTTAAATGCATAACAGAATAAAATAAAATTATCGATATATATATTATTATCCCTACATAATATATGTTATCACATACAACACATTATGAATATATTACACAGATCCACAATATATTCATCTGTTCCTAATATTCGAGATTATTTTTTTAATTACAGACTTTGTAGATAATGTTTTATGAGAAATGTATCTAGATATAGTCTTATACTGTTATAAATTAATACTCGTAAAATTGTTTTCCAAATTAAACTTGATATGTCTTGTTTGTAAAAAAAAAAATGTATATACATAATATTATCTATCTTAGTATCACTATCTCGAATCATATCTTAGGTAGGTACCTACATATTATAATCGGCACTGCAGTTCCGATGGCGATTCGTTAAAAAAAACAATTATAATTATCGGCGTCACACGATACACCGCGTGAATTTATAATAACTTGAAAAGTTTGATATTATTAGAGCTGCTAACCGTTGCCTTGGATTCATCGATCACTCTCATAGAGTCGTGAGTCGAAGGGTAGGTATACGTGTCAATGTTCTCATGTAGAAGTGTAGAACTTTATTATATTATGTATATGCGTATTATGCTTATAACGCGTCTTTTGTTCGCATATACCTCTAAT